CAATAGTGAATTGTGCTGCCATAAACATTCGGGTGCAGATGTCCTTATCGTAGAATGTTTTGTGCTCTTTTGGGTAGATGCCTAATAGGGCTATTAGCTCTTTGAAGTATCTCCATATTGCTTTCCACAGAGGTTGTACTAGTTTGCAGTCCCACCAGCATGTATGAGTGTTCCTATCTCTCCACAACCACACCAACACTTATTATTTTGATACTTTTTGATAAAGGCCATTCTCACTGGAGGTAAGTGATATCTCATTGTGGTTTTGATTTGCATTTCCCTAATGATTAGAGATGTTGAGCATTTTTTTCATATGTTTGTTGGACATTAGTCTATCTTCTTTTGAAAAGTTTCTGTTCATGTCCTTTGCCCACTTTTTGATCCCAGAATTCACACCATCAGTGCATTTATTCCCCCAAACTAGGGAACTCAAAAAAACACACTGAAGAAGTTTCAGAAGGTTGTTCATGATCAAGACTGTAGAGTATATCTTATTAAGGGACCCTAATCCATTATTTTGAAATAACCACAAAGAAGTGAAATAAGTAAAAATGATCAAACATATTTATGAACAGTTTGCACAGTGGAAAGTATAATTGTATAAAGAAAGTTGGGGATGTATGTTAAAAGGGACAGAATGATATAGAATTATATTTTTGATTCACAATGAGTGCTTATTCATAATTTCATAAAACATTAAATAAAAATGATGTAGAACTATATGAATTTAGAATTACTTTTGTTATTTAGGCTTGCCTTATGGGACACAGACCTACAATATTAATTATTAAATTTAATGTCCTCTGGGAGAAATAATTTAAAGCACTTTCAAGTATAATCTAGTTTCTCTTATCTCTCTCTCTCACACACACATACATACACACACAAACAGACACACCCTTCAATCTTTGAATTAAGACAAGAATTACTTTCACATTTGGTGGCACAGAGGCTGTAGTCAAAGATAATAGATGATTATCCCCAAAGGCACACAGCTTGTATATCACTCTGTGTTGATGGGGCTACACTTACTCATTAACGAGTATTTGCATTTCAGGCAATGACATTGAGTTTTTGCTTAATTCACTCAATTTTGTCCAGGCATCTTTGACTAATATGTTTTTGAGACAGTTGACTACAAAGGGCTATAAAACATTTTTTTAAGTAAGGATCAATGAAGGGGCCAGGTGCGGTGGCTCATGCCTTAATCCTAGCACTTTGGGAGGCTAAGGCGGGAGGATTGCTTGAGGTCAGGAGTTAGAGATCAGCCTGAGCTAGAGTGAGACCCTGTCTCTACAAAAAATAGAAAAATTTTTCTGGGTATGTTGGCGCACCTGTAGTCTCAGCTACTTGGGAGGCTGAGGCAGGAAGATTGCTTGAACCCAGGAGTTTGAGGTTGCTGTGAGCTATGTTGACACTATTGCACTCAAATCCAGGCAACAGAGCAAGACTCTGTCTCAAAAAAAAAATCAAAGAGGTTTTGAATTCAACATGGTATTCTCATAACCCCTACATTGAAATAAAACTAATTTACCCAGTCAAGTGGAAGCCGCCTTGTCAAACAAGTAAATCCTGAGTGTCTTAGTCTTCTTAAGTTAGAATTTTTTCCACCTTAGGTTTTTCCACCACTGTTCACTGTCCAAAGCATCTCACTAGTTTTTTTATTTCTTCCAAGAGTAAGTTCTATTTGTGTTAACCATGGCTTCATTGTTGTATACCACAAAAGCATATAAGATTGATTAAGGTTTATGGTGAAAATAATTTATATTTAAAATCATGGCCTCTAATTTTTTTAATAAATTTCTATTTCCATATTTTTATCTTAAATGTATTTGAACTAATTATCTCTTAATTTCATTCACCTCTAGGGCCTTATAAAAGCCTTTGAGGGTGATATAACCAGATGTTGAATGTTAGAAGATGACTAAATTGTGTCAGTATGTTTATTAAAAGTAACTCATGATAGTAGTGGCATGTTTTTCTAAAAGATGGGATCATTTTTAACTTACTTCAGATTCATTTATAAACAATTTATGCCAAATATATTTTCTAAACTGTCCAGGTATCTTTTCCTCTAGGTTTTATACCATTTTTTCTTTTAAACTAGATTAACTCATAGTTAGGGCTAGGAAGAAAAGAAGCATTGAGTTGGTAAAATTCAATATTGTAAAGCAGATAGTCTCTAAAGAGGATAAGTGCTATGTAGATTTCACCAGGAGTTGATTGTTTCTTTCTTGGTCTTGTTCCACTTATGAACTTTGTGCCACTTGGTACACTGTTCCCTCATCATTTCTATGTCCGACATCTTTCGTGGAAGGAAAACGCATCCGTCATTGCTTCTTAGGCCTTCTTTTTGGATGTCATCTTGTCCTGACCCAAAACTCCTTAGTCAGTGCCCTTCTTAGGGCAGCTTTCACATCCTTGTTTCTCAATGTATAGATGAATGGGTTGAGGGTGGGTGTGACAATGCCGTAGAAGAGAGCCATGATCTTTCCCCGGTCACGAGAGTAGCTGGAGGGGGGCTGGACATACATACTGATGGCTGTAAAGTAGAAGAGGGAAACCACCAGCAAATGTGAAGCACAAGTATTAAAAGCCTTCCAGCGACTTTCAGCAGAGCAGATTCTCATTACTGCTCGAGCGATGAACATGTAAGTGCCCAGGATGAAGGTGAGTGGCACCAGGAGAAGCAAAGCCCCGAGCACATTGAGCTCAGCTTCATTCGCACTAGTATCAATGCAAGCTAGTTTCAGAAGGGCAGGAACTTCACAGAAGAAATGGTCTATCACCCGCCGTCCACATCTTGGGGCCACTACTGTGAGAGTGGACTGGACAAAGGAGTTAGCAAAACCACTAATCCAGGTTCCAGCAGCCATGTGGATACAACGTCTCTGGTTCATGATGATTGGGTAGTGAAGGGGTTTGCAAATGGCAGCATAACGGTCAAAGGCCATGATGGCCAGAAGTATACATTCGGTGGAACCCAAGGCCAAAAATATATAGAGTTGAGTGACACAACCACCATAACTAATGGTCTTTTCTGGTCCCCGAAGGTTGACTAGCATCTGTGGGACGGTGCTGGTTGTATAGCAGAGATCTAGAAGGGATAGATTTGAGACAAAAAAGTACATAGGACTGTCAAGCTGAGAATCCAGGCGGGAAACTAGGATAATGGAGATATTTCCAAATAGGGCAAATATGTAGGCCACCAGAAAGATTACGAAGAGTGGTGTCTCTAGCCAGGGATGATCAGAAAATCCCAATAGGATGAAATCATCTAGAGAGCTTTGATTGTTGATCCACATATTAGCGCTGATAGGTGAAATTCCAGCTGAGACCTCTAAATAACCAGTGTTAGGAACGGACATCAATGGTAAGAGGAAGCCACTGAGAATTAGAGGCCAGAAACGCTGAGATGAAATTCTTATTTTTGCTCTAATACGCATCTATATCCTGATTACAGTGAAATGATGTCATCTGCATCTATATCCTGATTATGATAACATGTTAAGTCAGCATTGTAAATGGTATATTGAATGATTGCTGAGACAAGAATAAACAGAGTTCCAGCAGCAGGCTTGGGAAATTTTGCTTATTTAATGGGTTTCTTCTGGTTAGCTCACTCCCTTTGGATTTTGATATTTTCTCTTCTAAAAAGTTTTAATAGTACTACAATAAATTCTACGTGTCATGGCTAATTATGAGAACAGAATGTAGATTAAAACAGAATGGGAAAATGCAGAGCTTCTGAAAAACAGGTCACACAAAGGACAGCATGAAGAAGGCAGGTGGATTTTCAGTGGAGACAGAGCCAAGGCATTTTGGTGTGTTCACTTGCATCGCCCTGGTCCTCATCAGAAGCATCATGGGAACTGGAGCACTTTATAAAATATGCGTGATGAAAAGATGGAGCATCAGGACTCATTTTACCCCTTCCAAGCTTTAATGCTGTTCCTACCCAGAAAATTTAAAAAGTAGGAGGAAAAAAATTATAAAAATTCAAACAAGATAATGCAAAAAAACCCAATCAGGCCTTAGAAATTTGTTTGCTGTGAAAAATGCAATGCAAAAAAGCCTGGATAAATTTGATGAAATTTTAACTTTTGAGAGAAATTACCAGAAAGAGTTTAAAATACTTGTCTCCCTGAAATTTGATGTTGCATATGAATGTCTAATCCCTCAGGATTATCATCAGCACTTGTAAACTTAATCATTTCTCCTCTCTCCCTTCATTGTTCTCATGTCTTTCTCATTACTAATACTACTTTTACCCCATATTGCCTCTGTCCTACTATTCCCACAATTCCTTTATGATGTATGCATTATAATAAACGTTATCAAGTATCTACTGGGGGTTGGTAAAAATGATGTGATTGCTAGACGATCAGCTCAGGATCATCTATTTATTTTTCTGATCCTCTTAGTTGGCCCTACATCATATTCTTCTTGTGATCCTAACTTAGTAGGATTAGTGGAATCAGTTGGCCAGGTCTATTTTTCAAATTGGTGTCATCTGAGTTACAGAATTAGATAATGTGGTCAAAATTAGTGACAGTGAGAAACGCTGGAGAGAAGTACTTGCTTCACAGGTAAACCTCAGAATCACTAAATCCCAAACTGAACTCTGTATCTACCCATTCACACTTCTAATCTCTTCATTTGTTTATAGACTCATGATTCTTTTGGTACCCAGAAGGTAACCATTCTCTTTGAATTGCAATTGCCTGTGTGTCAACCAAGTTGTCAGCTGGAACCATTCTTCCTTATCATCGTCTCTCATATATCTCCATTAAATCTATGTCTATCAAAAACATTAAAGCAGACATACAGAAAATAGTTCAATGTCCCATGATCTCTGGCTTTCGAACTGGTATTCCTACTTAAAATCGTTCTCTTATCTTCAAAGCATCTTAGCTTGTTTGGAGAACAGTCTTTCCTTTCTTCAAATTTGATCATGTACATCTCAGCTCAAAATTCGTCAGTGGCTGTCAGTATTCTAACACACTATATTAAAATGCAGGCTTAGACTCAGGCCTGTATAATAATGGCTTGAACCATGCAGACACATACACTGCTCTAGCCAATCTTCCTATTTCCCCCTTGTGTTTATGCTGACACGAAACTCCACTGTTGTTATCCGTCCTCCTGTAAGGATCATCCCAAGTACAAAAACGTTCTTTTTTTTTTTTTTTTTTTATTTCAGCAAATTATGGGTGTACAGATGTTTAGGTTACATGTGTTGCCCTTGGTTCCCCCCCCCCACCAAAGTCCGTGTTTCAAATATGTCCATCCTTCGGGTAGTGCGTATTGCACTCCTTGTGTATACAAATACCCGTCCCCTCCTCCCTCCTCCCCCCTCCTCCCGCCGCCCTCCCCGTGGTACAGATGTTCAGGTTACGTGTGTTGCCCTTGGTTCCCCCCCAAACGTTCTTAAGTATTTCCTGCTCTCCTTCTTTCCTGGCCATCCAGAGTACTTTATTTGTATTTCTTTATGATATACTCTTCACTTTTATATATATAACACATATATAAAATAAATCAACTAATATATACATTTATTTCACTCTAAAAATCAATGAGCTTTAAATATGTCACTTCATAGTCTTGTGACTGGGTTTGTTCAACTAGGTGATGAGAATCGAAATACTTTATATAAACTCCATAATACTTTTATGACAATTGGATATGAACTTCCTTTGTAAATTAAACATAACTGTAAATATATATACGACAAAGAGGAATATAAACAGTAGCTGCAATATTAGTAGTCCTACTCTCATAATAAAATTATGAAATGATTCTAGAAACTTCCAGGTGTCTGTGACTGTCTGTGGATGATTAAGTTGATTATTTTCTTGAGACTTCTCTTTTGTAAACCTTATCATATCCTTCTCTGTAATACCACTCTTCATTTCAAAGTGGTCCTATTCAATTTATTTTTCTCCCATTTCTGATTCAGGGACAGTGAGTCTTCAGGAACAAAGTCTTAGAAATATGATTATGTTTTGTATTATATTCCCAAAGAAATGGGACAGATGTCATTGCCAGTTGATTAGAGGATTATTGTAGAAATATATTTTGATTCAACATTGAAAAACAATTTTATCTTTATATATATTTCTGAATCAATTTTGCTTTATCTGTTAAGGTCTAAGGAAGACCTTTTCTGTGTTGCAGGATTTCTTATAGAATACCTTTTTTTTATTTCAGGATATTATGGGGGTACAAAAATTTTGGTTACATGTTATGACTTTGCCTCACCCAAGCCAGGATTGGAGGCTTGCCCTTCTCCCATACAATGCTCACCGTGTCCATTAGTTGTAAGTTTACCCACCCCTGTACCCCCAACCCCCAAAGAATATTACTACCATGTGAGCACCTTAGTGTTGATCAGTTAGTGCCAATTTGATGGCGAGTACATGTGGTGCTTATTCTTCCATTCTTGTGATACCTCACTTCGGAGGATGGGCTCAAGCTCTATCCAAGAAAATATAAAAGGTGCTAGATCACCATTGTTTTTGTAACCACAAAAAACAATGGAACACCTCTTAACCAGCACTCACGTAATTACTTGTTCAATTAGAATCTTAAAAAGACAATTTTGGAATGCTTCATCAGATCTGGATTGTTTTCTTGCTAAAGTCTTTTTCAGAATCTCCTTATTTAGTTCCCTGCATTCAGATAATGTTCTAAATCTGAAGAAAGCTGAATTTCTTCTCCTACATTTCAAAATTTAGTCATATCATTTTCACAATCTTTATATTTTTCTACCAGCTCTTTCCAAATAGATACAGCTATATTTGCTTCAGTTATTAAGTACTATTGAGTTTCTGAGATGAGCCTAGACTGTTATGAATAAAATCAAATTACATACTTCACTCCATGGGAACAGTAAAGTTATTAAAGATGAATATGTAGCCTGTCTCCTTGGTTTTCTGAATACTTGATTCATTCCTAAATATTGAAGATTCACAGAAAATAGAGGCAAAAGAAGAAATAATGAAATGATAGCATTAGATACAGAAAGTAGAGAGTCAAAAAAAGTAGAGAAGAAAGAAAAAAAGAATGAGAGATATAAAGAGAGTAATGTTTTGTCTAATACAGAATAGATGCTTAGTTAGATAAGTATCTGTTAAATCTATGAATATGGAAAGAAATAGAAGAAAAATGGGAAATAAAGATTAAAGGTACCAGACTAAATTCAGTAATTTAGTTTATTTGCCTGGAAAGGGCTATGGGAAGTTCTTGCCTTTCTGGTTGTACAGGAAAATTATGTAGATTAGTAGAGCTTAATTTATGCAAATAGGAAATAAAAAACAGCTGATGATCCTCCTGAGAGCGAGAATAAGGAGCTGGGAGACAGAAGCTTCTACAGATCTCAAGCAAATGTGTTGTACAAAGGAATGAAGGGAGAGCAGGAAGGAAGTACCCAGCTACATGGCTTAAGAAAATGTGGAGCCCGTTATCTTAGATGTTTACATCCTAATACACTCTTCGTTAACTTTCTAAGTGTACTTCTAGTATAGTATGTTAATAAGATGAAGTAGGAACAACATCTAGGAACAGTATCCATTCCACCTCTGACTCACTTTATATATTTCTTCTCAATGTTACTAAGTACCTTTGCCATAGTTTTAATCCCATGCTTCGTTAGATTTCCTTATTCTAAAGTGTCATAGATTTAAACAACCTTTAATTATCTGAATGGTAGGCCTTTCAGAGTTAAACTGGTTTCTCCACAAAAACAATATCTTAATATTCACAAACTTTGTAATGCAAACAGTAGTTTCAATCTAGAACAGTGGTAAAAAGGCACACTTAACATATTTAAATGACAATATAAGTTCCCAAAGGTGAATAACATGAATAGTAACACTTGTATTTTCCCATAGCTCTCCTCATAATAAAATAGTGTATGACAAGGATTTGCAAATACCAGAATGTTCTGATCAAACTTTCCATAAACCTAAATTTTATATATATAATTGCTTTCATACATATATATAATCTTCCTCACAAATATGTTTATTTCTATAAGAAGACTTTAAAGTAAGAATAATTTTTTTAATAATAGAAGACAAGAAATTCAGATACCAAGAGGTTATAGGACTTGCCCAAGTTTATAGATCTATCAAATTCAGAAGCAAAGGTTTGAATAATATAAGATTTTGAATCCCACATCAGTACACTTTCATAATTTCACTGTTGTTCTCTCAAACAAAAATGTATGTGGCTTGGAGAATCAATCTTTTAAATTTTTTTTATTTTACTTTATAGCTTTACCCTTGAGTACTTCCTTTACTCC